GAGCGTTCGTTACGTTGTTATATTACATCTAACACTATAGCAGCTTTCAGTCCAATAGGTAATGATTGGCCTAGATGAATATCCAAATTGGATTTACGACTTATATAAATGAAACCCATCCTTCAACCCTTACAACCACTGTTCTTCCAAAATCTTTATCAGTTGCATCTATATCCATTTCTTTCCTTTTTTCACTTGTTTGAATCTTCCCATCACCCTTGTCCAATGTCCTCTACTTAGTCCTTTTCTAACCCTAGAATTACCTCCCATTTTCCTACCCCCTTTTCTTCTTCTCCTAACATCGATGCCAAAACAGTTGAAGAAGGTCCTTGACTAAAGGGCTTAGAGTTGCCTCACCCATCTCAACACCAACTAAAGTTAGATCCTTATTGCCTTTTATAAGGCTCTGCATAGAGTCAATTGAGCTTTCTACCACCTAAAGATCATGCTTTAGCCATGGCATATATATATATATATATGTATATCTTATAACACTCTTAGAAACTAACCAACCATGACTAGCCACCATTCCATTCGACCAACCACTTCCCAATGTATGTCTCAACCGCAATCCATAAACATGAGCCACCTTACCTCCTTCTTTTAGAACATGAATCTAGATAGGACAATCATCTTCAACGTGGACTACGATTCCACAAACATAATAAAAGTCCATCAATCTCTCACATTTAACCCTACATTGAATTGTCTCCCTTGATGTCAACTGCACCTTAGCCACCCTCCTCAATGGCTTTCAAATATTTACCAAGGCTTTAACTTGTAAAGTAGGGTTGACAAACAAATTGTCTTTAGATATATCTAGATCAAGGATAAGGCCTATAGCCTCCCCTAACGTTCCATCCATTGCTTTAATCATAAGTAAGAACTTTAGATCCAAAAATTGAATCCAAAAAGGGCATCTTGTAAAATCTAGATCATTAACAACTTTCTTATCATCATATTCAACCTACACAATTGAGTTTTTGTAATTAAATACCAATGGAGCCTTCATTAGCATCTAATCTTATTGCCTTTCATCCATGAACATAAAGATGAACACATTATCACTAAATGGTTGAACCTTCAATCCCCTTTAGATTTACCATAGCCGAGGTTGCAAAAAATGTTAGGCGATGGTGGGAGGTTGCGCATAGTCTAGAGCCTAGAGTGCATAGGTTGTGCTTAGGTTGCCTAGGCAGTTTTTTTTAATAATAATTTTTTGATATAATTCTAAGAAAATAAGAAAAAATGTAAAACAATTTTAAAATTATAAAATAAATAGAAAAATTAAAATTTTTCTATTCAATATCATGTATAAAGAGTAGAATTTAGGGGAATTACTTGGCCTTTAATTTTTTAAAATATAATTTTATAATAACTTAAACCACATCATTTCATTAGGCTAAAAAGTTAATAAAAAAAAATTTGCTAAGGTGCTTTAGGTGCCATTAAACACCTAGGTGTGCTTAATTGATTTGGCAATGCAAACCGTATTGAATTTCTACTTAGGAGTTGATGTGGGCAGAATGGCACTGCTTAGAGCCTAGGCATCCCGTAGGCCTACTTTTTACGACACTAACCACAACCTTGTTATGTGTGCTTGAAGCTCAGTGATAATCATTGCTTGGTGAGAAAAACTTTCTTAACCAAGTGATAAAACCCTTCCCATCCAACATCCATAACCACTGACTTTGGCACCTTAATTATCTCCCTCTTTTTCTCCATCAATGATAGTTTCCCCCATAATTCCATGATCTCGTTTACCATAGCCATCACTCTCACCCGTTGTAGACTCATTGCCCTTTATACAGATCCCAATCCATGAAGAGCACCTACTCGTGCTCCCTTCACCTATGCCTCTCTTCCTTCCCTAGCACACCAAACATGGCTAGTGAAGGTCTCTTCTTGCCATGGAGAGTTTAAATTACCATGCCACTAGAAACCATAGCTATCATAGGGAGTGTTTAACTTAAACGTTTATATGTAGACTTCACATTTGAACATTTGATATGTAGGCCATTAACTTCACGTTTTTCATTAGGCAAAACCCATCATTAAACCCCTAAACTTACCTTATCTTAGTACATTAGCCCTTTAACAAAAAATTAAAAAAATAAGCATATCAGCTACTAAATTGTTTAATTTGAACAAATTTGACCCCTCAATGAAACGGCTACTTTTATACCCAATTATTGTCATTGATGCCAATTAGAATAATCATTCATGTTCATAGATCAAATAAAAGAAAATGACGAATTGCAATTTAGTACTTAAACTAGTCAAATTTAAAATAAAATTAGCCCCTAAACTTTAACTAATTTAACAAAGTTAAAAATTACAAGCCATGAAATCCCAAGTTCCCAATAGATACTCTCTCTAATCACAAACAATCAAAGTTCTTGCATGGGCACATCTATCTAGGCATTATTGATTTGTATACATACATATCAAATTAAATTTATAAAAACAAATAACATTTGGGTAGTCTCATGGATATTCTAAAGATACATATAGAGATCATCAGATGAAGATTTTCAAGTTCTTTAGACTTTTAGTTGGTATTAGGTGGATAAATATGAATCTATCTATAGACTGCCTTACATCCTACAATAAAATTTTCATATTGTATAATATTGAATTCTATGAGCATAATTTTTTTTTCTTTTGTAACTCTTCGTGCATTTGATGACAGCCCTTTAATGTGCACGATTATATATAGTTGTCAATTGCATGTGCTTGTTGATGTTCTTCGTCAATACAAATCCCCCATATATACCATTTCCTTTTTCCTTTTTCTTTATCTTAGATTCTAGATAATTAACATTTTTTAACAATAGTGAAGAAATTGGAATCTCAATCTTTAATTATTATTTTTTCCATTGGTTGTAAGTGTCGAATATCTTGAATTTTGTCATTTAAGGACTATATTGCAATTACTTAGTTTCTTTTACATCATTTGTGGTGGCCCAATCCTATGTAGAGATGGAAGTATGAGTGTCAGTGAAATATAAGTGTGGACACCAATCACTACTAATAACATGAGTTTAAACTTTTGTGTACCCATAAACCTTGACTTGAAACCTTGACTTGCAGAATTGTCAGGTTAGTGGCGGGTTTTGGCTTGGGTCACACACAAAGTGAATATCAATTTCAACACATTTGACTCTTTGATGATAAATGGGATTTAGTCATGTAAAGAGCATTGAGATTGTTATAAAGAACCAAGGTTAAACCCTTAACTTGGTCTCTCAATTATTATATAGACCCTTGAGTTAGTCCGTAAATTTAAAAAATTCATATTTTGCTTACTAAAGTTTGGAAATTTGGTCCCTTTATTAATAACTTGCTAACGTTGCAATGGCATATATAATTTTTTTTATACATAAGATTGACAACATGGTAAAAAGAATGACATTGCAAAAAAAAAAACCTTAAAAAATTCCCTGTCTTTTTTTTATTTTACTTCTCTTTTTCCTCTTTTTGTTTCTTTTTCCTCTTCCTTTCCTTTGCCTTCTGCAAACCCTAACTCCTTAACCTACAATTGCCATACACTTTCCATTAACCAAATCAATTTGAAGAAGATAAAAAATACATCAAAGCGAAATCAATTAATAAATAATGAATTTTAAATGCCTCTACAATCATTATCAAAGCTAGGTCTAGAGTTACAAATAAAACAATGAAATCTTTGAACTACAATAGAACTCTCCACATAAAATCAAATTCTTGACTTGGGCTGTTCAATTCCCAAAACTCCAAAACCATTAACACACAAGATTTGAGACCTTCTATGCCCATTTATCCATAACCCATTCCATCACGCAATGGGATCCTTTGCAATTAAAACCATAGGAACAATCTCGGTTTCCCTTTGGAGATTCTGTTACATAATTTCAATGGTTAAGGGAATGAAATATTTGCTAAAAATCGCATATTATTACGAAGGATTCAATGGAGGGAAGGAACCACTAATGTTCAATTGTGGCAACTATTCAAGGATCTCCTTGAGCTCTTCAACAATTTCCATTGCCAAAACACAAATCTAATTGAGGAAACTCCACAACAATCCTAGATCGTGAGCCCTTTGGAGGAGACTTGAAACGCCAATTAGAGTCAAAGAACAAATAATTAGTACTAATGGTATTTGGCTAGATCTAGAATGTGTTACCCACCCAGAAAAGATCCTTAGTAACTAAGCTCAAGCTACTTGGATAGCCATAGCAAACAAAAACTAAAATACATTACAAGTAGTAAGATTTATTGAAGTCACCTTTAAAGGGATAGTTTATGACTAGTTTGTGGGTCTAAATGAAGAAGAAAGCAATACTGTCATAAGTGGAAATCTTGTTTCTGAAGAAGCTAATGAAAACGAAGCAATTCAAGATATAATAAATAGCTTCGAATCAACCATAAGGAAAGAGTTTTTAAGAGAAAATTTGGAAGAAAATCAAGAAAAAGAAGAGGCTAGAATTGGAAGAATAGCAATATGAAAACTGCAAAATTTAGAATTATGCAACTTTTGTGAGTTAGATCAATACGTTTGCTTGTTCCAGAAATACTATTATAAGGTTTCAAATCTTGGAATGACTAAAGGCCTAATGGAATTATTCTTGGAAAAATTCCTAATCCTTGGGGAATAAAATTGGCAGAAGCCTATAAAATATATGTAGAAGATAAAAAAGATACTTTAGAACTAAAGATTTGGTTCACTAAAACCAAAATTAATGAATGGTTCATAGGAACTTATAACCAAAACAAACTAAGAAAAAGAATGAAAAAAGGACTATGTTACCCTAAGAATAGTGATCTAATCAAATTAGGATGTAGTTACACTAACTACAACAAGAGAAACAAAAAAATTTAGAATTAAAAGAAGTAATAAACAAAG